AATTATAGTCTTTTTTATTATTATTATTCGCCGGTAATCTCCCGGCCCGGGTCTTTTCCAATAGTGGTGACCCGGCTTTGGCTCCCTATCTGGGGAGTGTCTCGAGACCTAAGTCTCCCATGGGAGGAGGTACAAATACCTCCCTCATCTTTGGGACCAAGTGTCCCCAGGCCTAGCCACAGTCCCCGCCCTCACGGGGCTAGCAGGGAGAAGCTAGGCCTCTGGTCTGCCATCTGCCCCGCCCCACAAAGGGGCTCGTGGGGATGGCAGTTGTGAGCTGCAGGTGGTAGCAAGTTCAGGCCATTACTTAGAATTGTTTAATATTGAGAAGTACATTTAAAAGTATAGTTTACACAATGCACGAGACAGTAAAACAATGTAAGAAAGTGTTAGTCACCCCCCACAGGATGGATTTGGGCTGCATAATATATTAAATTATTATTATTATTATTATTATTATTATTATTATTATTATTATTATTATTATTGTATGTAGGGGAAACAATGAATCCGTTGGGGCCATGCAGCTCCTATGGGAAATGGGAGGCAATCAGGTTTGATCCAAGGAAGAGGACGGATCCATTTCCTTGCATCGAGAGCCCCTCACCGGCATCAAGGAATCTCTTGAGGGCAGAGAAGAGTGTAACGAGACATTTTTGAAAGTGTAAAATAAATAATTAAGGGAGCAATTTTTAAGGGAGACTGTACCAATCAAGGGAGGTTTCATGACGCCGGTAAGGGGCTCTTGATCCAATTAGTAGGACCTGCTCTCCCCTTCCTTGGATCAAACCTGATTGTCTCCAATTTCCCCCAGGCGCTGAATGATTCCTACGGGTTTTGCGCTCCTCCATTAATAATAATTTTGTAGTTAGGTGGGTATCTGAATAACAATAATATATTAGTTACCAGTCTGGTTTCAGGGGATGTCATTCAAATTAACTTGATTGATTACATAGGAATCTAAATGTCGAATAGAAATTTCAGTCACAGTTACCTTAAACCTACCGAAGATTTTGACAAAGAAAGCCTTATATTGTGTAAAAATGTCAAGGTATCGACATTAGCTCTGTAGATTTTTTAATTAAGTCTTACCAAAACAGAAAACAACTGTTAGTCTTATCATTTTTTATTTTAATAAGGGGTAATCGCTGAACCCATAGTGATCATATAGGGCGTTGGGAATAGAAAATATTCAGGCTCGAGCTAGAGAAGGAAAGTATAAGACCGGTTCTTTGAATCAAGATTCCCTCACCAGAGTTCCTTGGGTTCCCTGCTCTTCATGTTCTGTCAGTGACACATTTGTCAGTGTCAAATGTAAACTTCTACTTTATGCAGATGACATTTCTTTTGGTGTTAGGAAAAGACCCCAAATGATACATAGTAATTTGGGTATTATCAGTGGAACTAGAACAGTGCAGGCGATAGTAATAGACGAATCGTTGTTGCACCGGGGCAAAACAATAGCTATATTATTTGGTTCAAAATATAAGTTGCAAAAAAAAAAAATAATAATTCTAAAGGAACCTGTCTCAATAGCAACTTCAATGAAACATTATAAAATAATAATACCTTTATTTACTACAAGTACATATACATAGTATACAGGCCTAGCTGACATCGCTTGTTATGTTGAGCATTTCGGACAAATTAGGTCCTTGTCCCAGGATGCGACCCACACCAGTCGACTAACACCCAGGTACCCATTTTAGTGATGGGTGAACATAGACAACCAGTGTGAAGAAACACGCCCAATGTTTCTACCCTTGCTGGGAATCGAACGTAGACCCTCGCCGTGTGAAGCGAGAGCTTTAGCATGCCAGGTGAGCCATAACGAAGTAAAAGTGCGAATTCCAAGTTAATATTGCTCTATAAAGAGGTACAGTGCCTACCAGCTCGGGAATGAAAGACTTTAATATCCAGCTTCTATATAAAGTCATGTAGATCAGGCGTGTTCTTCGTTTAACTCTGCTCTACCAAAAAGAGAAATACGTACAAAGCATCCAGAATAAGATGATATCCTGTATCTGGGCCCAAGAAAATATGTAGGCCAGAATGAACTGCTGAAACTGGATATACTAAAAATGGAAGATGGATTAAAGCAGCTGAAATTAAACCATGTATTAAAAAATTGCTAACAACATTGTCCAATAGTCTTCCTTCAAATTTTGTGAGAGATGTGAACCGAAGCCAGGAGTGTGCTAGGGGAAGTGGAGATAATTTTGAAGTGCCCACAATAGGCCTCAAATTCCTATTATTTAACTATAAAGGAATAGAATGGGTCAACTGATCATTTTAAGGCTAACCTTAATGTAAATTTATTTAAAAACTGAGATAAAGAAACTCTAATGACTGAAGCTGCAGAGAGAGAGTAGCGATATTCTGCACTGTTGAAATATTTGCAATTTTAATCCAATATATTCAGTTGCACAGCGCATATGCTGTATATCTTTCAAGATTGATGGACTGAGCACATCGACTCCAGGTTGAGGGACTGATTACTTCAAACTCATCATCTGCCACCGTTATTCTCTGTATTGGACTGATGAAGCCACTGACTGGCAACATGTGTCCACAATAAAGATTCCCAAATATTGCACAAGTGTCTCATTCCTCACAAGTAACACTATCTGACTATTGGTGCACATTGATGCATGGTATAGTGTTTGGTGTATAAGGTAACTAAAAATAATATTAACTTGTTTATTAAACCAGAATAAAAACTGAAGAGAGGTAGATTGGAATGAGTTAACTGGGTAAAGTGAAAATTGTGTTGATGGAGGAAGGGAAAGAGGTATCATACCAACAAGTATATATTGAGATTATAGAAGATCAAGGACCTTAATGGAAATAAGTCATTTTGTCTGACTTTTATGGGGTTATCCTAGGCAATGTTACTAGGTACGTTAATAGTATTAATGTGTACCTGTACCTAAAGAAACTTATACTTGTGAACTGAACCACAAAGAAGACACAGGAAAAAGAGCCTGAAGATTTTCGGTGAGATGCCTTCTGTACAGCCAATGATTTATTTACATACGAATTTTGTGTATATTGGACGAAAGGGTTTTTATATTGTATGACAATATTTTTTTTAACTTTCATACGTCGTGGCCTTCTATAATAATAATAATAATAATAATAATAATAATAATAATAATAATAATAATAATATAATAATATCTTGCTGACAATTTTGTCAAGGTTAGGAACCCAATCAATTATAGTACTAGCGGGAGAGAGCACAATTTGTAGTAGCCACAGTCAGTGGCCAGGCTTCAAACACCTTTTATTGTACAGCAATAAAGGATTGGAACAGACTACCTGCACATGTCAAAGCTAAAAGGTGTCTGATGAATGTAGCTACAGAAAAGGAGGGGAATTATTTTTTAGCTAATACACGTGTAATTTTACCTTATTCCTAGTAATGACCCTCGTATTGTAGATAGTCTTAATGACCCTCGTGTAGTAGATAGTCTTTTTAATATGATAATAAGATGTTATCTCCATTGTAGAACAATAAGATATTATGACCTTTATATTATAATAATAAGGTAAAAGGACCCCAATGGAAATAAGTCACTGTCTGACTTGGGTTACACTAGGTTCTCTACACATATGCTGGAGAACTTGCCCGTCATTATGTGCTTTTTCCCATAGGCTCAGAGACCCTTGGCTCATGGGGAAAGAGTGCATCTAAGTTCCTTAAGGAGCTAGGCAAAAGACTCATCAGGGTAACTAGGGATCCCAGGGCGGCTAGTTTTCTGTTCCAGCGACTCAGCGCTGCTGTTCAGAGGGGTAATGCCTGCTGTATTTTGGGCACGCGCCCCACTTCTGAAGAGCTGGATAAGATTTTCGCATTATAATCAGTGACAAACATGTAACAATATGGAGTAGACATGTATTTCTCACATCTCATGTACTGTATATGCCATCTGTATATCAACAATGTATCTCTTAAACCTTTTTGTACCATATTATGTAATAAAATATACCTACTGCCTCCCAGCACACATAAGGGGGATTACCAACAGACCCCTTGGCAGTCTTCAAGCTGGCACTGGACAAGCACCTAAAGTCAGTTCCTGATCAGCCGGGCTGTGGCTCGTACGTTGGTTTGCGTGCAGCCAGCAGCAACAGCCTGGTTGATCAGGCTCTGATCCACCAGGAGGCCTGGTCACAGACCGGGCCGCGGGGGCGTTGACCCCGGAACTCTCTCCAGGTAAACTCCAGGTATTGGTAAAAAAGAATGAAAAGATGAGGTGGTAGAGGAAGTGGAATATTCAAACAGCTCCAGGAAGAATTCCAAATATTCTTCCTTGAAGCCTTTTTATTCACTTCTCCGAGGCTATGGGTCCCATAATTTACACCAGAGGTTCTCTATAAGTTTATTCTCTATAAGGATTACAATGCTGAGTTTACAGAATTTAGTTATTGTGTGGTTTACATATAGTAAAATAATGATTACAGAGTGTACCACTAGAACACCTAGCATGGCTAGGCATTTCGGACAGACTTAGTTTAATTCTTAATTTTTAATATAATTCTTAATATTCTTAATATATGCTGCTATGTATGATAATCTATGCAACTGTATTTGTGTATACCTGAATAAACTTACTTATTTCTACATCTACAAGGTATACAAGCCTAGCTGACATCAGTGACATACTACATAATGGTGTGTCACATAATTTTTGTGTGATTATTGTATAAAACCTATAACCATTATGAACCTCCCAACCATTGCAATGTCTGTGTATTCTTAAAAATAGAGATCACGTTTATTTTTTTTATTTTGACATCTGAAATTCTTGAAAGAGCCGGTGCTATAGAATAACACAATCTCAAATTATTATTGGTAATAGTGCTATTATTATTATTATTATTATTATTATTATTATTATTATTATTATTATTATTATTATTATTATTATTATTATTATTATCATGATGATCACTGTAAGAGAGAGTAGACCAAGAGGGTGTGGAGGGAAGCTGAGATGCGCAGACTCCAGGTTTGAAACCTGCGCACATCACGTGATCAGAGATTATAAATAGGTGAGCAACGTGGCACTTTCCAGACAATTGCGGGAACACCCAAAGCTGGTCCTGTGAGAGGCTTTCTTGTCGTGCTATTTCTTTTTAAATCGATCAAAATGGTAAGTTTTAACGTTGTTTATAGCACATCTGAAGTCTAGCGTGTTTCCGGGTGAAGTATACGTGCTGTGGATGTATTTTTTACAGGTGTATTGGTCAACATTCAACAGGTGGCTGTAGTCGTGCGCGATTCAAAATCGCGTTTTAGGACGGCTTCCTAAATTTTAAGGGCTGTAATGCATTTCCAATTTAAATCGTTTTATATGTGGATTATATTGTTTTAGTTTCGATGTTAACGAAAGTCACATTTATGTGGAGTGAGTATGATTCAGCCAGTGTGGGGCCCTCGAGGGTGGTAACCGGCATCACTTGACTGGCTTCACTACGCCATTACTCGATAAAACTTGTCCAAGTACGTATTTGCCTTATTGTAGCAAGCCTGCCGTCATTAACGGGTGTCATATGACAGGAGCTCCTAGTGGATACTAGGCAAAACATTTCTACAGTAGAAATAGATTCCTGGTGAAAGTAGCATATTTAACTACGGGTTATCTTGTGTTAATTAAAAATTACTTTCTACATGTATATATACTTTAAAGTGCGTGTATGTATGACGCATAAATTAAAAAGTGGAGCGTAGGTCATGCTCGACGTCCTGTAGCGTGTATAATAACCGGTGACGAGCTTGGCTGATATCCTTGACACACTTCCTAGTGTTCATGGGAACCTAGTTTAAATACTTCCCATCAAGAAGGTTACTATGACGAAAAAGTTCCACCCAAGTAGTTATAATGCATTTAATTCCCTTGTACTTCAAGGGAGGCAAGTACCTTGATGCCAGGGGGTGGAGGCTATTGATCCAAGGGCCTGGACGTCCTCTACCTTTCCTTGTATCTAACATAAATACCTCTTATTCACCAGGACATGTATGAGCTGTATGGATTTAGTAGTAACCCCTGATCTTAAAATCTAATTTATCAGCCACTATAACACCTGTGGATTCCTTGGTTCCCCCCAGTATAAATAACAGGAGCCCTGTGTTAGGTCTCCTGGCCTTTGCTAGACAAGTTCAACTGGCAGCCACCCACTCACTTGTGTACCTATTCATTCTAATTTTTAAAGTCACTCTTGGTTCTCATGATGCTGTTTTGGAGTTTTTCACTTTTCCACCACATACAAAATGAGTGCTTTCCCATATCCTTTCTAAACCCAGATTTTCCTAACTTTAACCCATTGCTGCAAGTTCTGTCTTCATTAGATGTTTTCAGCACATTATTTATATTCCATTTATTCCTGTCCACCATTTTTAAAACTTCAACCATATATCCCCCCCAATTTTAGGGGTAAAGGTTCCTAGTGGACTTTGGCTTTGCCATCCCATGAATTGAACCTGAATGTCTCCAGTTGCTTCAGGCACTGACCCGCTTGGTGGCTAAAGCTGTCGCTTCACACGGTGAGGGGTCTGGGTTCAATTATCGGCAACGGCAGGAACATTGGGTGTGATTCCTTACACTGGTTGTCTTCCGCCATCAGTAAAATGGGTACCTGGTTGTTAGTCGACTGGTGTGGGTTGCATCCTGGGACAACTGACCTAATTTGCCTGAAATGGTCTGCATAACAAGTGGCTTTATAGTAGTATGTTATTAATGTTGGCTAGGCCTGTATACCTTGTACATGTAGAAATAGATATTATTAATGTAATTTCTTCCCAAGGATGTTTGCACATGGCACTGAAGGGCTCTGTCTAATGAAACTTTTCTTTGCTTGGCTTGAATCCAAATGCCTTGTATTTTACAGACAGTATATAATACCTAAGCATTATAGCACTGCATTTTTTCACTGATTAAAATATTCCTGAAGGTAACAAAGTGAAGACTATGATACAGTGGCACCTTGACTTAAGAGTGCCCCAATTTACAAGTTTTCAGTTACAAGCCGTCACTCGGTCTATTTTTTTTGCTTTGAGTTGCGAGCCAAAATCAAAGTTGAGTGAAAAAAAAATACTAAAAATATTTGCAAGAATCCCTGCCAAAATGGCACAACAAAAGATGGTTTTGGGACTTGGTACTTGTTAACCCTAAAACTGTCCAAACAGATCTATGTTCACATGCATAGTGCTCCAAAAATAGATCTTTTTTTTTTTTTTACATATTTTCAAATATAACAAAAAAGATCAGTTTTTTTTTTTTTACACTTCAAATGTGTGTAAAAAAAAAATAATAATAATGTTTTTTATATGCTTCCAAATGTTGAAAAAACGTAGATCTACGTTTGGACAGTTTAAGGGTTAAACAATGCTAGTGCGATGTTCTCACTGAAGGTAGTAGTGTAATTCTTTAGTTATTCTACAGAAAAATAAAGTTGCTAAGTTTTTGACATTTGCAAAATATCCTGCCCATTACTCGCAGAAATTCCAAAATATTTGGAATATTTCCAGTATTCCACAAGCCAATTGTAGAACAATCATTTTAAGATTCCTGTCAATATTATTGCATTTATTTCAATAATAAATGGCGGGCTTCTTGAAATGAGTCAATAACTTCCGAGATATTCATATATCGCTGCACTAGTGATCTAGCACAGTTAGCCTCTTCAAAAACTCCATTTTCTTACCCAGGACCAAAGAACACGTTAGAGGAAGGAGCAGTAATGATTTTGTGCTTGGACTGGTCTTGGACACTCGCCATATTATGGCCTATTTTAGTCTAGATGTATACATGTATTGTTCCTATGTTACTTAGTGTTTGTCATATTAGATCAATTCTGATAGATAAATAAGCTGTAGAGTTGATAATGTATTTTCTCCTGCCCCTGGGGTGATTTTTTGGGGGGACTGGAATGGATTAATGGCATTTTAATTAATTTCAATGAGGAAAATTGATTTGATATAAGAGCAAATAGTTAAGAGCTCGGTCGTGGAACGAATTAAATTCATAAGTCAAGGTACCACTGTAGTCCCTTATTCCATACCCCAAGCCCAGCCCAGTCTACCTCGGTAAATAGTGCAGAATAATTTCTAAGGCTGTTAAGTATAAGCATGATAAACACCAGCATAAAATTCTGTTATTTTTATTTTTGAACCTTGTCAGAGGCATCTCGGTTATAAACCCTTTTGGGTTTAAACCTTGACCAGTACATTTCTTAAGACATCTGAAATTAGAAAAAATTGCTGGGGGTAATACCAGGAATGACACAGGTGCGAAGTTAGCAGTTTGGAAGCAATTTGTGCATCAGCGGTTTTTATTTTAAGCCAGTATCATTGTTCAATTCAATCCCCTCAAGGGAGGTTCCTTGACAGGCTCTTTATCTAGGGGATTGGATCTGAGCTCCAGTTCCCTGAATTAAGCCTGACTACCCCCCCACATGCGCTGTATAATCCTATTGGTTTAGCGCTCCCCCGTGATTATGATCAATTCAATCAAATTCTTGGCTATTTTTCCTAATGTGCTTTCCATTTTACCAATTGAGCACCAGAAAGTGCCCATTCAACTAAAATTAGAAAAAAAATCCCATTTTAAAAAGTCCATTAATATTGACTAAGCATTCCTGGGACTAAAGCAATGTTTCCTCAGCTCATTAACCCTTTGACTGTTTTGGTCATATATATACGTCTCGCGAGCCAGTGTTTCGGACGTATATGTACTCGATAATTCTAGTGGCTTCAAATCGAGCAGGAGAAAGCTGGTAGGCCCACATGTGAGAGAATGGGTCTGTGTGGTCAGTGTGCACCACACAAAAAAGTCCTGCAGCACACAGTGCATAATGAGAACCTTTTTTATTGTTAAAACGCCAACTTTGAGGTGTATTTTCTTAGTATTTATCATTGAACTCTCATTTTCGTGGTCTTGTGTGATAAAAGGGAAAACATATTGTAGAAAGAGATGATTTTGATTAGTTTCATGCTGAAAACGACCTTGAAATTGAGCTCAAAGTAGTGGGAATGTTTGATTTTTACCAAAGTTAGAGTAACCAAATCACACCACACGTCCAATGCATGTCAACTGGGGAGTCTAATATTCCTTCACTAGTGCACTGATATTATTTATACCATTTTTACAATAATGCAGTATTCTGCATAATGGTAAATTTTTTTTTTTTTTTTTTTTTTTTTTTTTTTTTTTTTTGTATGAATAAAAAATCAAAATAGAAAGTAATAGTAATATAAGGGTCTAGAGATGTGACTAATGAACAGAGGATGTTATTTTAGTGGCAAGAATGTCTACATTGTTTATTCTGGACCTTATTTTGAAATTGGCATCTTTTTAATTTGTGTGAAATTGGCCAAATTGCCAATTTCTGACCACTTTTTTTTGGGTAGTTCAAATCAGTAAATGGGTGGTTTCTTGTACTCATTTGATAGAAAAAATGGAGTTCTAAAGAAATAGCTATGAGTTTGGTCAACTGTAACAACAGAATTGGCCAAAAACAGGGCTTAATCAGCGACCGCTAACTTCGTGGGAACGTAATTCCGTGAGTTTTTGGCCAAATTTCATGCTTTTAGTGTCTTTACCATCGGGAAAAGATTATAGTAAGAAATCCCCCCCCCCCCAAATTGTGACATAGAATGACAGTTTCGGAAAGGGGCTTGCGACAGTCAAAGGGTTAATCGTGTCCTTAGACTACATCTGTCAGTGGTATGTTGGGATAGCTTCCTAGTGTCATGTTAGTTTCACAATAGGTCAGCAGCACTGACCTGCCAGGGATTATAATCCAGCACCCCCTGCAGACTTGAGGCAGGAAAGATGTAGGCATCAGAGGAGGGGAAAGTGTCTGAAGTTGTTACTGTTTAGAAGGGGAATCCCCTTCCATTAGGACTTGAGGTAGCAAGTCCTTTTCAGGGGTTACTTCCCTTCTTTTAATGCCACTAGGACCAGCTTGAGTCACTGGACCTCTGTTGCACAACAAATCTGTCCATAGAGCTCTGTACCTCCCGTTCATTTAAGATTTGTCATTGTAATAGTCACCAGCACGGCTTGCAATAGCTGTTAGGGTGATTTTCATCCAGGAGGTTTGCAGTTCAACCCACTTTGCACACATTTTTTTATTTTCGAAGTATGCACACTGGATTCCACAACTGGCATAGGCTTCTCAGGGTTAGCCCCAAACCCTTCAAAATCTTTCTTAATTTCCATACTAATTCTCACCCTTTTTACCACTAGAAGCTTTCTTGGGGCCCATGGTAACTTATTTTGCAGAAACAAGCACCAAAAAGTCATATGGAATGTACCAAATGTATCCTTAGATGAGCACACGCTGCCTGGCTTGTAAACACTGGCACACACGGGGCAGTTCAGGCCACACGTGGACACGTCTCGTACGAATCTCATCGAATACCAGATTTTCAATCGGATACAGAGGTGAAATTTTTGCCTTAAAATGCATCGAATACCAATGCCATCAAATACCGGGGGTCCACTGTATTAGTGAAATAGCTAAGAATTTGATACTGGAATAATGTAATTGGCCTAAAATGGGAGTCAGTCGGCAAAATCGCCAATGCGTAAATATCGCTGACACATCAAAATTCAGGAGAGCTTAATTTCATAGATTTTCCATCAAATTTCATACTTTGTTTTATTACCTTCAGAAAAAGATTCTCTACCATTTCATAAGAAAAAATAATTATTTTTTTGAAAATTCTTGGACACTGGTGCACACTGAAATTTGGCCTCTGGACCCCTCAAAGGGTTAATGTAGTTTGTCATATTAGTTGAATTGTGATTGATAAAAAAGCCATAGAGTTGATATTAGTGTCGTATTATCCAACAATAAACTCTCCTCCCCTCTCTGCCCCGTCTGCCATACACTAACAAAAGTATTCAATAAAAGGCAAGTGTGATGTTTAATGTTTATTTATACTTTTTATTAGTGCTTTACATTTATTTGGCATTCTTTTCTGCATGTAAATCTATACTTAAGCTAGGGAAGTGACCTGGTTCTTATGGAGGGGGATTCCTCTTCCAAACAATAACCTCTCTCCTCCTGTCTTCCATTCATCAACAACAGCCTTCAATAAAGGTAACTGTCATGTTGAATGTTCATTCTTTTGTGCATGTAAAACAATCTTTAAGGGAAATAAAATTTATACTTCTGGGTGTCTGGAACAAATTAATTGGATTTAAATTATTTCTTATGGGGAAAATGGATTCAAAAATAGTCTATTTCGATAAGTCACACTTCCAGGAAAGGATTAATTGCGAAAAATGAGGGACCACTGTATAAGGATTGCCCAGTGGAATAGAAGGGACATGCGTAATGGTGGCTTGCCTGTCCTAAACACACTTCATGACAACTAGAAAAATGATGCATCATAATACAAAAGAAAATGGTGAAAAGTAGCTGTGGAAATAAAGCAAATCTATTGTATCACTTTAAGTGATGGCAAACTTCTGCATCTTGCTAGAAAGCTCTAAATGTTGCTGCAACAAGTAACCATGGGGAAAATTAGGAAAGTACTGCATAGTACCAGATGAGCTAGACTGATGGGTATGCTAGTTCACCAATACAACCTGAGTTGACCAGACAAGCCTGGCTTAGGGTTGGGCTGCAGGAATAGAAACTATCAAACCATGTGAAAAATGTTAGGGCAATTAGTGCTTGCAGTGAAAGGATAGTTGAGGATGCTGTCTTTCTGGAGAATTTTTCTATTCTGCATGTTTGTGGTAAGACTTCTTGAAAGTATTTTTTAAAGGGTATATAAATATTCATCCATCCAAAACTAACTTTAACCTTGGACAATCTCTTGCCTAAAGCAAGGTGGCCTCCCACATTCTCTTGTTCACTCATTTACAGTTGCCAGAATTTTGTTGACATCACAATTTAATGACAAATTTCCTTAGCTTCTTCAGATTGATAAACCCTCAGTTATCCTATCTCCCTCTCTTCTCAATGCCCAAACCACCTCAGTCCCCTTAGTTATACCAATCTTAATCTGTACTCTGAATTCTCTGCGCAATATTCACATCGCTCTCAAACTTGACATTGCTTCATCTTACCACCTCATTGCCACATTCAGTACTTGTGTAGTAATTCCTGCACTATACCTCCAAAAAAGTTTTTTCCAGATGCATTTTTGCATATTCGTTTATTTTTCACTTTTATATAAGATTGATAAAATTTTACCTTTCCCATTTGGGTAGGAGCGTGCATCCTCAC